AACTTCTAAACCTTTATTTTTTATACATTTATACCTTTAATTCTTTTATATCACATAAAAAATACTACTATTTTAATTTCTAAAATGTGAATAGGCTGGCAAATATTGGTTCAAACCGCCCAATCAGGGAAGCCAATATTCATTCTTCAATGATCCCGATGAAATCTCCAAACTATGACACTTCTAGCTCCTACATGGTTGTTTCAAGGTTATATTCACCTTCTAGTTTGGTATGATGTAATTAATATGATTGACATTGACCTTAGGCTTCCGACGAAAATCCATTTGTGAAATTTGGATCATCTTTAACTACAGTCTTAATGCAATAGGTATAGATTTGGCCTTCTAATTGAAATATCCAACAACTCTAATATTGAGCCCAAAAAAATCTATCAATAAATCCATTGTCTTTGGGGATTATGATGTTTAAGATTGGTCTTAATGGTGATGTCCGCCATTCAATCAACTAGTGCACAATATACCCTTTACTGAGGAGAATTGTAGTCCCTCACAGATTTCAACATTGAGTTGATTTCTATATACACTATATAATTTTGCCACCCAATTCCTATGTTTTCGACATAATTATAGTCGAAAGCATCACAGACCCATGGGACCCACAAATTGCTTGAAAAACTCGACCATAGTCAAACCATCAACTATAATACTACTTTTAGGAAATAACCAAAGATGAATTTAAGTTGGGTTTGATACACATGCGATTAAACTCATTTTTGATATATCAAAACCAACATAGTTTCCAACTATTCAATTTGCAACTAAACCAATTCTCTTGCATGCATTAACACAACAAACTAGTCTTGTTATCGATCATGTAATGTTAAATGGCCTTTTGATGCTGACTTTAGCCTAATCATAGCTAACTTCAATTTTATCTAAATCATTACACAAAGTTTTGCAATATATATCTTCAACTAAATTATTATATGTAAATAAAAAGTGTCAATATTACTCCTAGAGTCTATAAAAGTGTAAAAGTAGTTCCCAGATTACTTTTAATGGGGGCTAAAATAGTCCTCTATAAAGACTATATCAAGCAGACTCTGAGACTAAAAGGGACCCTTTCAAAGGGGACAACGGACCATTTCGACACTTTTCTCGTATCCTAATAATCACAAAGCCATCATGAAATCATAACACAATTAGATATTCATTAGTTGACGGTTTCCCCATATGAAAACAGCTTCTCTAGAATGATCTTTCATATATCTGATAAGAGTAATGCTGTACTCCCCACACAAATCCACACATGAAATTTCAATTTCTTAATTCTTGTGCGTTGTTGATGTGGTTGCTCATATGGCTCATATTAAAATATAGAAGTATTCCATCCATGCAAATGTGATGCATAAGAAATGTAGAAACCTGCTTTAGGTGTGGATTTATCTAGGGAGTGAAGCATATTCATCTGACAATTTCAATTGTCCAATATCTACGGCCCCATATATCCATTATGTTTGTGTATTAGTTCAGTAATCCATTACATCTGGTTGGCTTATATAATTGCATTGGAGGTCACTAAAAGGTTAAATGCTTTGAATGCAAATGCCTAAAAAGTATAAGAAGATTTACATCCATTCCACTCGATTCTTATTTATGTACATATCTAACACCTATACTTCAATTTTTACATGTATGCCACCTTGCTTATTCATGAAAAACGTTTATTTCAATTTTTAAAAGCTAAATAGTGGTATTTTTGGTGTGATATGAATGATTTGATTGGAATATATGTAAAACAGCATAGTTTAGGTGTTAGATATATAAATACATAAGAACCGAGTGGTATGTATTTAAATGCCCGTGCTCCAAAAATATAGGAAGCTAATTTTTTACGCAAATCACAAGGTAGAAAAAAGTAATGTAGCTATCTTGACCTAGACATCTTTGAAGTGTAAAACTGTAGATAAGTTTCGTACTCTATCGGTGCATTGATTTGAGATATTTTGACACATTCAGAATCTTAGCATGACATGTGTTATGAACAAGAATTGAGAGGGAGTTTCTGTGTACCTGGTCCTCATGTGCAATATCCATGATTTTTTCAAAAAAAAAATTCTTAGGAAGATTTACATACATGCCACTCAATTCTTATGTATTTACGTTATCGAAGACCTAAATTTCATTTTTGGTATAGATGCCACCTTACCTATGTAAGAAAACGTTTATTTCACTTTTTAAAAGGTAAATTGTGGTATTTTTGATGTGATATGAAAGAGTTGGGTGCATAAATGTAAAAGTGTGAAGTTTGGGTGGTAGATATGTAAGTACATAAGATTTGTGTTGTATGTATGTTAATGCCCCTAACTTTTAATATTGGTTGAGCAGTTCTTTTGGTGTCTTTGGGTGTATCCTTTTGAAAGCTTGTCAAGCTAGATATGCTTATGATTAAGAGACACTTCGCTTCGTTTGCTTTGCAGTTTTAAATCGTCTTGTTGGTGTATGGCATTTGTGCCTCCCATTTTTTTTCTCGTTAATGTCAATTGTAGCTGTTGTTAATTTTTTTTCTTATTCATTGTTGATTAGGCTGCAAAGCTTATTGCTAATTTGCTTATAATGGGCTCTGGAATTTTAGGAAGGGCTGTCTTCCAAGCATATCGTAAAGCACTTGAAAGTGAGTTGCTTGTTCTCTTTTTCATTTATTGCATTTCATATTGATTCAATCTAGTAGATTTCACTTGTTATGTGATTAGTTAACCTTTTAAATAAAATAAACAAATAAATAAATGTTAGCCATTGAAATGCTTTGAGATAAAATTCTATAATTTACAGCTAACTATGTCCTTATTTGGATGATTTCCATGCATACCAATCAATTCTTATCTATTTACGTATCTAACACCTAAAGTCTAACTTTTACATATTTGCCACGTTTCTTATGCATGAAATGGTCTATTTCACTTTTTAATTGTTAAATTTGTGGTACTTTTGTTGTGATATGAAAGATTTGGATGTATTAAAAATATAAGAATGAAAGTTTAGGTGTTAGATATGTAAATACATAAGAAATTGGGTGGTATGTATGTAAATGCCCCTTCTTATTTTGGCTCAAAGCTTATATCGTATTCTTTTTCCTTGCAAAAGATATGTTTTTTTCTCCATCAAATTAGTTTGTTAGTCTGGTCTTCATGCAGCTCTGAGAACTTTGAACGGGATTTGAACTTGGGGAAAACATTGGGTGATCTTTGCTTGATAAAGTATTTGCAGGAATTGTTTGATCAATATTTTAATTACTAGTGAAAAAACAATACAATTTTTTTTTGAAGGAATTTAGCAATGCCTCAAAAAGCTCTTTTTCGGTGAATTTTGCATTAGCTCAGATCGAACAATTTAGGGCAACACAGTCTTGTTATTGAAAAAATATTCCGTCCGGACGTCTGGACGACCAACCATCGACTGCCACGTCGCCTGCCGGTAA